AACTCTCCAAGGTATTCGGACATAACTATCTATGGTATTCAGACATAACTCTCCATGGTCTTCAGACATAACTCTCCAAGGTATTCAGACATAGCTACCTACGGTATTCAGACATAACTCTCCATGGTATTCAGACATAACTCTCCATGGTATTCAGACATAACTATCTGCGGTATTCACATATAACTATCCATGGTATTCAGACATAACTCTCCAAGGTATTCAGACATAGCTACCTACGGTATTCAGACATAACTCTCCATGGTCTTCAGACATAACTCTCCAAGGTATTCAGATATAACTACCTACGGTATTCAGACATAACTATCCATGGTATTCAGACATAACTACCTACGGTATTCAGACATAACTATCCATGGTATTCAAACATAACTCTCCATTGTATTCAGATATAACTACCTACGGTATTCAGACATAACTCTCCAAGGTTTTCAGACATAACTCTCCAAGGTATTCAGACATAACTCTCCATTGTATTCAGACATAACTACCTACGGTATTCACATATAACTCTCCAAGATATCCAGACATAACTCATTACGGCGTTCACATACTAATCTCCACACAACTATCTACGGTATTCAAACATAACTCTCCATGGTGTTCAAACATAATCCTCTATGGTTTCACACATAATTCTGATCGGTATTCACAAATAATTATGCGCGTTATTCGCGAATGGCTGTCTTATTAAGGCGTTGACGCGACACTACGGTTTCACACATATCTTTCAACGTTATTCACACATAACATTCTGTAGTATTCACACATCACCCTCTGTGGTATTCACACATGCTTCTCTCGAGACTTAGCACCCAAGCACCCTCTGCACAAAAATATGATCACTGACGTCATGCTAACAAACTAAGAATCACAATCGTCGTTGGTAGATCTGAGATATCGACAAATCGATGAAAGCGTTTACAAATAGCATAAATTAACAACAGTTCTGACGGATGTATTCCAGCTTTGCTTAAAGATTACTAATTTTTTCCCCGAGGCTGAATGATTACTGAGCTGGCGTGCTAAGTGATAAACGATTTCATGCTTCAGGTAAAATAGCAATCAGAGCATTACATAAGCGTAACGAGGTAACGGTACTTGTATCGAGTACAATCAATGACAGCAGCAGCTGTGATCATATTTAAATTTATTGAAAAGTGAACATTCTGTCATGACGATATGTCACTATGACTATCATGACAATGTATTCTATGCAAACCAAACCACTTGTCAAGACAGTCCGGGATAACCTGTTGACATTTAATAGGTGATATGTAACACAAAAGTTACGCCTCGCAAGGACTGAACATAACCAGACATATCACAATACAAAAGTTAAGAACAAAAGAGCTTACTGAGCAGAACAGGAATATGATTAAATTTTAAAAACAATTCAATAAAATCTTTAGAATCTTTGGAAATAAAATCTTCATTGGGCCTTCAAACCTCTCAGTTATAATTAAAATTTAAATCTCAAAGACAAATGAACAAGTAATGCGACTCTAAAATTCTTACATAGCAGTCAAAACGTTTACCTTTTTTATTTCATATTTTGATTGTTTATGGTAAACATGTGGATATGGAGGTCATTTTCAAACATTTATGCAGCATTGACAATGTTCTTTGTGAATGGTACTCGACACGTTTCTGGGTATGTTACGGTTAATTTACTTGCCTTAGCTTGTATTTGTGACGTATGCCACCATGGGGGTGGGATAGGGCCACCTGGTATCATCCCTATTTCATATCATACTGATTCAAGAACACATGCTTGACATATTCGGACATGGAAACGGTCACTTTAAATTTCTTCAGCGAGATTATCAAAATGGTTTTGCCCTTGAGCAATTAACATCTAGGATGGCAAACCGATAAATAAGAAATTAATGCAAGATACAATTGCCATGTGATGCGCGTTAATGATACTGTAACCCGTGAAGATCCGGGTTAGAATTGATCTTCAGTAACCCATGCTTGTCGCAAGAGGCGACTAACGGGATCGGGTGGTCAGGCTCGCTGACTTGGTTGACCTATGTCATCGGTTCCCAATTACGCAGATCGATGCTTATGCTGTCGATCACTGGATTGTCCGGTCCAGACTCGATTATTTACAGACCGCCGCCATATAGCTGGAACTTTGCTGAGTGCGGCGTAAAACTAAACTCACTCACTCACTAATAATACTGTAACGATTCAATTAAGCTTGTACAGAATCTGGAACTCGTTACCGACCATACAACAGAATGCATTTGAAACCATATCACGGCGGGGGACACCAGAAATGGGCTTCACACATTGTGCCCATGTGGGGAATCAAACCCGGGTCTTTGGCGTGACGAGCGAACGCTTTAACCAGTAGGTTACCCCACCTCATGTGGTAAGAAGGTACCCTTGAAGATGGCTTGGTCTTCAGCAAACTATGCTTGTCGTAAGACAACAAGAATATGACTTCTAACTAGAGCGATTAAAGCTTTCTATAATAATAATAATAACAATAAATCTTAAAAGCAGAATCCATTATACAAATCCGATAATAATATAAACCCATACTATACCCGTGCTCAAAATTATCGTCATTCATGAATTTCAATTATATTAATATATTTATGAATTGACTTGAATATTTTTGCGTTTATCGAAGTATAAACGTGAAAACCGATGTACATACTGTGTAGATCCGCGTAGCGTAGTGTTCGTAACTTCAAAGGCCATTGATGGTTAAAGTGGATCAAGTTCACAGTGATTCGGATGGTTTATCAATTATATGATTTAAAACGGTTCTTTATGAGATAAGTGTCGAGACCGTACGAGTTATGTGTCATGTCGTGAGCCAATTATCAAGATACTGTTTGGACAACGACATATTTATTGCACTGTAACAGTCTTTAACTGGCAGAGCGCCTTGTTTCCTGTTGCGTTGACACACCATATGGGTTTTCCCAGTGCCCGGTAGCGTGAAGACGTGGTATTTTCCTGAAACTACTTACATATCTGTAATATTTTTATATATGTCTGGTAGATTTAATCTAGTAGTTTAGATTTTGGTTTCAGTTACATTTATAGTCATGGGGAAAATATTACTTTTATTGTCAAAATGTTGTCATATTACTTGTTTTCAGCATTAGACAAACTACAAGCGTTTGCAACTATTTCTATTGTGATTTAGTTTCGTTTAGATTATTCTTGGAAAAGTACCAGAATAGGTATGTTCAAAAATACTCTTTAAAGTTCTAATAACAAATGCTATATTATACTGAGCCTACGTAAAACCTACATACACTAACGACTTCATTGAGACAAAGCCGAATATTATAAAATATTATATAATACTTACTCATTTTGTACAATGCAAGAAGGTCCATGCATTGACCTAAAACCCGATATTTGGCAATACGTGAGAAATATTTGGCAGCAAAGATGGAATAAACAAGAATACAACCGTGATTGTGATTCATACCCTTACCAATTTAAATCGAGAAGATGAACTTGTGATCCAAAGGTGTCGCATTGGACTCTCCTAAGGGAGAGGATTATGCAATGTATTCCTTCTCAGAGTCATTTTTTTTTAATGTGTTGATTTCGCTCTGATTCGCTTTTAATCATGTTTAAACATTTTCTGAACTTTTCAATGCCGTCTCTAACCACTTAATTTCGCATGTTTGAAGAATGATAAGTTTTGAATTTCAGTTCTTCTTAATGTTTCCTGTGGTAACGGACTTTAACGATCTTCTGTGGGTTTTATTCATTAGGAAAGTATTTGTTTCAAATAGCTGCAATATTACTGCAACACTTACTTACTTTCTTACTGTTTTACTTACTTACTTTATTACTTACTTACTTAGTAACAGGAGTACTAGTTGTAGTAGAAGTTGTATTGGTAGCAGCAGCAGTGGTAGGTATACAACGTGATGTCTTATAAAAAGCTGTATTTACCTTCTGAATCGTCTTATAAAGCTGTATTCACCTTCTGAATCGTCTTATAAAGCTGTATTTACCTTCTGAATCGTCTTATAAAGACGATGGGATAGCCTGATGCTTAAAGCTGTTTGCTCGTTTAAGTTTAGGGTTTGATTCCCGTGGTGGGTGCATGTGTGGAAAATGTCTGGTGCTAACGGCGGCGTAAAACTATACTCATTGACTCACACTTACAAATTCCAGGATGTGGAGAGAAACGATAGGTTCGTATCTCTTGATGGCAAAAGTGTGTAATCCTATTCTTGATAAAGCTTCATGTATACAATATATGTACAATGTATGTAAATCCCTAGTACAATATTTGTATGTCCTAAGTAGAATATATATGTATAGTCCAAGTACAAAATAAGTACATCCCAGGAACAATATATGTCTACCCCAAGTACAATATATGTATACCCCAAGTACAATATATGTATACCCCAAGTACAATATATGTCTACCCCAAGTACAATATATGTATACCCCAAGTACAATATATGTATATCCCAGGTACAATATATGTCTACCCCCAATATATATATATCAAGTACAATATGTCAATATATGTATATCCCCAAATACAATATATGTATATCCCAAAGCACAATATATGTCTACCCCAAGTACAATATATGTCCCCCCCCAAGTACAATATATGTATGTCCCAAGTATATATGTATACCCCAAGTACAATATATGTATATCCCAGGTACAATATATGTCTACCCCAAGTACAATATATGTCTACCCCCCAAGTACAATATATGTATGTCCCAAGTACAATATATGTATATCCCAAGTACAATGTAGGTATACCCCAAGTACAATACAGGTATACCCCAAGTACAATATATGTATACCCCAAGTACAATATAGGTATACCCCAAGTACAATATATGTACATCCCAAGTACAATACAGGTATATCCCAGGTACAATATATGTATATCCCAAGTGCAATATACGTATATCCCAACCCATTTCTCCTCTGAAAGAAAGCCCACGTATGTGAGGGTTTACCTGTGGCGTTGCGAGCACTACAGATGTCATCGTAAGGCCTCTCCACCGGGACCAGTTGGTAACTGGAGTTGAGAATCTCCCTGTTCACCTTCTGAAACGCCAGTCTGATGGCAGGACCGGTCCTCTCGAAGCTGTATGGGACGTCGCTCCCCGAGATGAGCATCACCCCAACCTTGTACTCCGTCACAGCTCCCACACCCCACACATGCCCTAGCACTACCACCAACAGAAAACATATACGCATCGTTAGTTTACACACACGTCTAAAGTTTCAACTTGAGCTTGTTGGTACATTTTCTTCCAAATTTGGTGTTCTTCGTTGGTCAATTCTCCCCAGTTCCACCTTCTTGTTTGATATACAGCACGACTCCAACACTAAGTATCTACTGCATACGCTTGATGTCCATGAATGAACTGTGGCTATGCGAGACAAGGGAGCAATGTACTTCAGCAATCAAGAACGTGTGTCTCCCTTGATCGTGGCAGCAGCAATGATTGTTCTTCTGTGCCCGTTACGATTGTGTCAATCCTCTTGCAATTCCTCATTGGTCCTCAAGTGGAGTCCAAGAAACAACTGCTAGTAGACAGGTTAACGTCACAATAGCTTCCAACCGCAACTTTTCGTCTCGTGTCTCCTGACTCGTCTGTCAGGTGAGTACGCGCGTTATAAGCGGGCGTCGAGAATGGTATCGATTTCCCTCAGATGGAACTGGGTGGGTAGATACAGACAGACGCATACCTGTACTATCTACATACGCTTCCTATGAACGCTTACCTTTAGATTAACATCCTCGTAGCCTAATGGCTATTTTAACAATCCGAGTTCGATTACAATATAATGAAGCTAATTGCCGATGTGATACGCGACTGATCGGGATCATTATTCAACCTTGTCTTGTGGGACTGGTCGTTCTAGTCAATGCTATTATTCTCACTGAGGGTGGTGAAATCTACACTATAAAACTCGTCACTTCAATACACGGGTTCGCTTCAAAGTACGCGAAAAACACGTGAATCCCTTTTTGATGTCACTATTCCTTTAGAGTGCTGTAATAGGTTTAATAGCGGCGAAAAATTTACTCATCAAAATTGTTAAAGCAAACCTGTATTATTTTATTAATAAATTCAAATTTCATTTTAAAAGATAATTATTAAAATTATTACGTTGTACCCTGAACCTAAAAGCATGTTTCCACAAAGTCCGGTAAAATACTTTACGGTAAAATGAGGCACACAAAAATTCATACTGTTTAGGAAACAACTAAACAACGGCAATTATGTCACGGAGTCAATGCTAATGTGTAACTTTAATCCAGTGTTATCGCGGACCACAAGAACGTATATCGGCAATAAACCCAGTTTAAGACTATCAGGTCTACACAGGCAGCGTCCATTGTCTCGCGGTTATTTGTGACCAAGTCCACTTGTCATCCCCAAGGCATCAATCACGACAGCACTGTGTTCAATTACGCATAATAACGCCTGTGGACGGTGTCGTTGACGACAACAGTACATGCTCGGTTTCTACAGAACGTCGATGATGGTCAATTACTTTCGTCAATAAAACGTTTTGTTTTGTTTCCTGTTGTGAGAGGGGGATTATGTGCTGGTGTCGAGAATATTCGACTTTTCGACTTGATTAGGCTTATTGAACATCTGTGGTACATTTGAACTATAACAGTAAACTGGGAATAGGCGGACTGTCTATGTATCCTTAAAACTCCGCGTATCTGTAACTGGGTTTAAAATGAATTTGAGGTTTTTTCTCTGAATTAAAAATGTTTGTATTTTATAATTTACTTCAAATGTACCTCAATTTCAGATTAAACAATGATTAGAAATAATTTATGTTCTTCTACAAAAGAGGACCGGTCCTCGAAGCTGTATGGGACGTCGCTCCCCGAGATGAGCATCACCCCAACCTTGTACTCCGTCACAGCTCCCACACCCCACATGCCCTAGCACTACCACCAACAGAAAACATATACGCATTGTTAGTTTACACACACGTCTAAAGTTTCAACTTGAGCTTGCTGGTACATTTTCTTCCAAATTTGGTGTTCTTCGTTGGTCAATTCTCCCCAGTTCCACCTTCTTGTTTGATATACAGCACGACTCCAACACTAAGTATCTACTGCATACTCCGCTTGATGTCCATGAATGAACCATGTGGCTATGCGAGACAAGGGAGCAATGTACCTCAGCAATCAAGAACGTGTGTCTCCTTTGATCGTAGCAGCAGCAATGATTGTTCTTCTGTGCCCGTTACGATTGTGTCAATCCTCTTGCAATTCCTCATTGGTCCCCGGGGGAGTCAAAGAAACAACTGCTAGTAGACAGGTTAACGTCACAATAGCTTCCAACCGCAACTTTTCGTCTCGTGTCTCCTGACTCGTCTGTCAGGTGAGTACGCGCGTTATAAGCGGCGTCGAGAATGGTATCGATTTCCCTCAGATGGAACTGGGTGGGTAGATACAGACGCATACCTGTACTATCTACATACGCTTCCTGTGAACGCTTACCTTTAGATTAACATCCTCGTAGCCTAATGGATATTTTAACAATCCGAGTTCGATTACAACATAATGAAGCCAATTGCCGATGTGATACGCGACTGATCGGTATCATTATTCAGCCTTGTCTTGTGGGACTGGTCGTTCTAGTCAATGTTATTATTCTCACTGAATGTGGTGAAATCTACACTATAAAATTCGTCACTTCAATACACGGGTTCGCTTCCAAGTACGCGAAAAACATGTGAATCCCTTTTTGATGTCACTATTCCTTTAGAGTGCTGTAATAGGTTTAATAGCGGCGAAAAATTTACTCATCAAAATTGTTAAAGCAAACCTGTATTATTTTATTAATAAATTCAAATTTCATTTTAAAAGATAATTACTTAAAATTATTACGTTGTACCCTGAACCTAAAAGCATGTTTCCACAAAGTCCGATAAAATACTTTACGGTAAAATGAGGCACAATAAAATTCATACTGTTTAGGAAACAACTAAACAACGGCAATTATGTCACGGAGTCAATGCTAATGTGTAACTTTAATCCAGTGTTATCGCGGACCACGAAGAACGTATATCGGCAATAAACCCAGTTTAAGACTATCAGGTCTACACAGGCAGCGTCCATTGTCTCGCGGTTATTTGTGACCAAGTCCACTTGTCATCCCAAGGCATCAATCACGACAGCACTGTGTTCAATTACGCATAATAACGCCTGTGGACGGTGTCGTTGACGACAACAGTACATGCTCGGTTTCTACAGAACGTCGATGATGGTCAATTACTTTCGTCAATAAAACGTTTTGTTTTGTTTCCTGTAGTGAGAGGGGGATTATGTGCTGGTGTCGAGAATATTCGACTTTTCGACTTGATTAGGCTTATTGAACATCTGTGGTACATTTGAACTATAACGGTAAACTGGGAATAGGCGGACTGTATATGTATCCTTAAAACTCCGCGTATCTGTAACTGGGTTTAAAATGAATTTGAGGTTTTTTCTCTGAATTAAAAATGTTTGTATTTTATAATTTACTTCAAATTTACCTCAATTTCAGATTAAAGAATGATTAGAAATCAGTTATGTTCTTCTACAAAAGCAAGCCGCATACATACCGGACAACAAGGCTAAAGAAATTTAAAAATACTATGCGCTTAAGGAATCACTATCAAATAATGATCATACCCTGTCCCATCAAATGTCATAACCACATGCAAAGGCAAGTCAATCTTTTACCTGAAGAACCCGGGAACATATTGTACAAGTCAAAATTGGGAATCTACTAAGTCTTTGAACCTTGATGAAACTGGAACAAGAGTCATGCGACGCTGTTTGAAATCGTCGAAGAAAGAGGATCAGGCCTACCAAAGAAAACTTTCCTTTTTCTACGGATTGATCTCGATCGCATCTCAACAGTAGTGGACAGTGGACACCAATGGCTTGAGATGCGGAAATATTACCCAACTTCCGCCAATCACGGGATTAATTCTTACCATTATTTGCATTTCATTGAAACATTACATTTAAGACAAATCAACACTTTTTAAGTGTTTGTAGCGCAGAAAACCATATGATTATTACAGTTTTTACTATGATAACCTGGTGCTACACTTTGAAATTTGGCGAGTATTTTGTGTTATAAATGGCGTATATGTACGAATGATTAAGTAAACGGAATATTTTGTTGGATTCCTTTTATAAAAATATAAATATAAAACAGGTAAAAAATGTTTTATTTCTTATATGTTTTATACTTTTCTGAAACCACAGAGGCTGACAGAAAATAGTTGTTGCAGCTGTTTTACTCAGTTTTTCTGCTGTATCATATTTTGTTATTAAAGGCAAAAGCAATTTCTAGAAACCTTAAATAATGTTCTGAAATTCTGAACGTAATAATGCCAAAGTAGTCAAAACATGTATGGATAACAATGTCTTTATCATAGTGTGGTCGTGACTTCTCGGAATAGACCTGCATTACAATGACACGAGGGTCTATGTCGAAACCTCGTTAATACAATGTAACAAAGAACCTATTGAACATAACCTTTGTCTGTTTGACATCCGTCATCTTCAAAGAAACAGCTATTAAACAATGTGATAACTCTTGTGATACCTTATTTATCAAACCTGGTGTCATTCATTATCAAATATGAAACATACCTATTATTGTGTTTGTTATACACCAATAAACGAATCTATAGCTCCAGTTCCATATGATCTAATGTCTACAGAGGTGGAACATTTAAATGCCACACGGGTAGTTTAAGTACCCGCTTAATAGACTTGAAAGACTGTATATCATTGTACATGACAAGTAAATAGCAATTATAAAATATAATAAAACGGATTTGACCATGAAAAAGACCACGCGTTGAATTGGCAAACGTGATATGATGTTATGTCCCTTTGAAATAGTGGAAATACTGTTAAACACACGCGTTATTCGTAATCAGAGATGCCACGGGCAATTAACCTTATTGTGCCCCAGGTCTTAAAGTAATAAGTGTGGCACCTGTCGACATTGATACAGCGTATTACAAGGCGTTATTGTAAAAGGTGACGGGTGCGTGGGGTGAGGACTGGTATGGGGTGGATTTGGGATTTTTCCCGACGGTCTTGTCAGTGAGTTTATAAAAGACTCATATAGGCTTGTGAAATGTCTGAATTTGAACAGGGGGGTTGGGAGGGGACGGTGGCCCATTCGGTCTTAGACACAGATTCAAACAAACGCTCGCGGATACTGTCGTACAAAAGGGACCTTAGACCAGGGCCCATTTGCACAAAGCCATCTTAACGGGTCGTAGTGCTGAGATCGCTTTGAGCAGGTGGGCCCTGGGCCACACGCCGCCCATAGGCTCTCTGGTACAGA